ATGATCCCAACAGAAAAAGTGAACAATTCACATGACAATTGACCAAGCGTTTCTGTCGACATAATTTCATCCGTTTCTCAAAACCACCCTGCCGGTAGGAAGTCATCTCCTATTTGAGATCAACTTTAAAGTCAGCACCCAGAAAGAAGATTCCAAGAGATGCACTGCCACCAATGCCAGGTCACGGCAAGCCTACCAGGTAGGGTAGAACTGCCCCTGTGAGTTTCAGAGACCTTCACTCTTTACGGGAGTACAAAGTCCCACCTTTCTCTCAAGGATCTGACAGGCGGTCTTGAACTGCTGATCTTGCAGCTCGCAGCTCAACATGTAGCCACCACTCCACCAGGGCTCCTGCAATGAAGATCGGATACAGTTAACATGGCCCTTGAGGTTTCCTTACATTTCACCTAAAGTTTGCTGTTCATTGTTTTGTGTATAATGCATTCTACATCCAACACAGCCAAGCTTGCTTTTGTGGGTGGGTGCTGACACATCTTCTTAGTTTGAGTGGTACATAACATAACTTTCATTTAATTGTTTATTGTACTTATGAAAATGTAGTGTGTGTGTGTGTGTGTGTGTGTTGAAAACTGTAAGGGCCTTTCCCATAGGTTCTATATTTCCTCTGAGTCTCAAGAGTGATTTTCTACCCCAAAAGCTGGCTGTTTAGATCCACCAACTGATCCACAGATGAAAGATGAGGCTGTTTGCTCTTGTAAAGATTTACAACCTTGGAAACTCAATCTAGGGTCTCCGTGAGTGGAAATCGACTGACTGGCAGTGTGTTTGGGGTTCTTGTTGATTTGTTCTTTTGTTACTTACCTTTTGCAGATAATGATATAACATCAGCTGATAACGACTTAAACCAAGGTCAGATTTACCAAATCTTAAATGTATCCACTCTGCCATACCCCACCCACGGCCATCAGGTCAATTGCAACTCACAGTGACCCTGTATAGGGTTTCCAGGACTATTAATCTCTATGAGAGCAAATAACCTCATCTTTCTCCCAAAGACCAGCAGGTGGGGTTGAACCACCAACCTTGTTATCAGTCCAACACCCAACAGCACCAGCAGGCTCCTTACCCACACTAATATGATCATTACACTTAAGGGCAGCACATTCATTAGCTCAAGAAATTCCAGGGATGCCCCAGAGGAAGCAGAAACCCCTGTGGTCCACGCCCTGGCCACACTGCCCCAGTGCTACCTCTGGCTTTAGATCGCTTTCGTAAGTCATCCGTTCACAGATCTCTACCTTGGCAGTTCTGTCTAAAATTGAGCCTGGCCTTAAGCCTCAGTTCTTTATAACAGCCTTCTCTGGAGCAGACCAGCTTTGTGTGTTGTTTTCGGATGCCTGCGGGTGACAAGGAGACAAACTCAGACCTCAAGTCACATCGCGCCTCCTGTCCTTTTTGCCACCATGGTTTAATTATTTGACTGCTGGCCACATTTTTAAAACTCTGTTTAAAAGTGTATGGCCCTTTTGTGACCTCTCACCAGGATGCATCGTGTCTAATAAATATCACATATGTAAGTTCAATATTTTAAATAGATCTCATTCTCTCCTCCTGCCAGCACGCCTCCAATGCCGTGGCTACTAAATATCCCCCAGCTCCTTGGCCAGCTGAATCATGATCGATCTCCCAACACACACACACACACACACACACACACACACACACACACACACACACCATGGTTTCTGCCGTGCTTTTCTTTTTCCTTATCTGTCCATGTTGACTTCTTTCCCCTTTAATTCTTTAATGCTTCCTCCCCCATGTTGACTTTTACATCTCTAAATATGATCCCCTATGTATTTTCTCAATTGTTTATAAAACATGAGGGAAGAGAATGCTGTCTGCAGGAATGACAAGGCGAGGCCCTCCCACAATCCTGTCCTTCACGAAAGGATGGAGAAGTGTCCACATCGATCTTTGCAAACCCTTGAAAGTAGCCAAGGGTTTGCCATAATCTAGGGAGGCTTGCTTCCAGAGGGATGACTGCCTCTCTGTGAGAACATGGGCGTGTGGCTTCTCACCTGGCCCTGTTCCCATCGGTCATGGAATGCATGTGGGCCCCGAAGAGCCAAGGAAACCTTGAGAAAGATGAGCGACGTTTGAGGATTCATAGGCCCAGTTTACAAACATATCAGAATGCTACGGTCATAGAGATCGTGGTTCTGGCATGCCAGGACTAGTACCAGGTGCCACCAGAGTTTACTCCAAGTCAAAGTGATCCCATGAATGGACGGGTCAAACTGTCCCCCATAGGGTTTTCAATAGCAGTTTTTCCCCTAAGTGTGGCTGGATGGACTTGAACTTCCAACCTTCCAGTTTACAGCTGAGCCCATGACCTGTGTGCATCACTAGGGACTCTACTATGTCTCTGCTCCCTCGTGAAAGGTTTGACGTGTTCTTTGTTTTCCATCTGCCCCCTCCTTACCAGCCAGCTTGGAGTTGGTAAGCTTCTTTGGGGCTGTCGCAGAGAGTGGGGACACTAGGGTGACGCATATACTGTGCTCTCGTGTCACAATGAAACAGCACTTTTATTCAAAAGAAGGTTGGTAGCAAAAGCCCCGCTTCGTACTTCAAACCCTAACACGATCCACAAGCTGGCATGGGCAAACGCAGCACTTAGTTGGTGCTGCATGGACTCACTGACACCCAACAGCAATAACAGTCACGGGTGGTGATTGCCACAAGGGCCAGCTTTCTTCGTGAGAGGAGTTCTGTGTTGTCATCCAAAACCAGTTGCTGTTTACACCGGTGGGTGGTTGCTATGTAAGAAGACTTCCAGCTGGAAGTAGATCTTGACTTTGAAAACTGTCCTGATGTGGAGGATGGTCAACAGCTGACAGGTTGCTGGTCTCGCTACTCACCACAGGGGCAAGGGCCCTGGCTAAGGTCAGCATCTGGAATCACCAGAGGAGGGACTGAGGAGTACCAAGAACAAAAGAGATTTGAGAGCTGTTCTAGAGACTAGCCTTTCTCAGAGAGGAGCATTGAGTGACCCACACGTCAAGGGATGAGGTAGGAGGACCCAATGGAGAACAGGAGGTTAAATGCCGATCAGAAAGGCCATGAGTCCCTAGAGACTCAAATCATTGTCATCATACCAAAGCAGATGGTCTGAATTGAGTTTGCGAAGCCCCAGTTAAGGTCCTTGGCTCTTACCTCAAACCCCCTCCCCCAGATACAAGGGGGTACCCGACCCCCAAACTGGAATATTTTCTTCAAAGCTATGTATTTAATTTGTTTTTAACAAAACAACCTTGTCACCTTCAAAGTACTCTCCATTACATTTAATACAGTTGTCAAATCTACAAAATCCATTCTTGGAAACAGTTTTTGAACTCATACGTTTGAATGGCTGATAGCACCTCCCTTGTTTTTTTCTTCACCTCTTCTACATCTTCAGATTGCTATCCTTTCATGTCCCTCTGCATTAGCAGAAACTAAAAGAAGTCACATGGAGTAAGGTCAGGTGAGTAAGGTGCATGGGGCAAAAGAGGCACGCTGTTTTTTGCCAAAAACTGGTGCACTGAGATGGCTTTGTGAGCAGGTACACTGTCCTGGTGGCAAAACCAGTCCCCTGCCTGCCACAAATCAGACCTTTGTTGTCAGACACTGTTATTCAATCTTTGAGAACCTCTAAATAGAAAGCGTGATTAACAGTCTGACCTGGTGGAACAAAGACCAAATGCACTACTAGTTGACATTCGGGAAGTTGACGGATATCCATAATGAGGTTTGTCATCAGTCAACAGTTCACCTTTTTTGAAATGAGAAAACCACTTGTACCCTTGTGTTTTCCCCACAACACTGTCCTTGTAAGCTGTGCTCAACATCACAACAGTTTCTGCGGCATTTTCCCCAAGCAGGAAACAAAGTCTCACAGCTCCACATGGTTCTCTTTAAGTCAGTCATATCTCACACACACACACGAGGTTTGAGTGACACTGGTTTCATGAAGAAATTCACTGTGACCAGAGAGAACCTTCTGAGGCGACACCACTGAGTGCACTAACCCAGAGCAAGTTGCTTGAGTTGCTTGATGCTCTCCTAGCCAGAAAAAAAAATGTGTACTACAAAAGCTCCACCCAGAGGAGCTTCTTTCCCATTTGCGGGGAGGGGGGGGGGGGTATCCCTTCATCTACTGTTCTACATACATCCCGGTATGGCCAGCAGAATACTTATCAATAATACAAAGATCGCCGTTGAGAGAAAAGGAGAAGGATTGGTGGAAGGAGAGAAGACGACAGAATGCAGGGAGAGAGGCAGGAGAGAGGGGCAGCAGGAGATGATAATGGCTTAGTCCCCGAGCTCGCTGGTGCACATGCTCCGTATATACTGTCTCAATTAGCACCAGAATACTAAGCTGGTTTTGGAAGCATCTACGGATGGGGAGGTTTACTGTTCCTGAACAATTAGTTTACAAGGAACTTTTCCCTTTTAGGACCAAAGTCCAGCCTCTAATAATGCAACTTAAATGCAGATTGCATCCTACAGTGTGAGAGGCATTTTGCAAGGAGAAGATTGGGTCTTCTTAAGTTATTCTGACTCCAGTTTGGGGTATTTCACATACTCATGCAGCTCCCCCAGATTCGGGCCCGCTTATCAAGTGCCCAGGTATGGACCCAGGGAAATGGGTCCAGTATGATAAGTGGGCTGGGTGTAAAATAACCAGAGGCAATGGACACTGGATGTCTTGGCAGGAGTTAATAGGCAGGGTGGCGATTAGAGCAAGATGGATTCCTTGTGCCACTCTCTAAGAAGGCAACACGACTCCATTCCTACCGTGGTTGTCATGTGGAAAAACAACTTCAGGGTGGCCAGAGCTTTAACTTATCCCAAGAAGAGAGAGACACAGTGTTAAGACAACATTCAAAATGCAACCGAGGTCTCTCTGCCTTCAGGGTTTCCGAACGACTGTTGCTTCTTGTTCTGAGTTGCATACATGAGATTGATCGCTTCTCTATGTGTCCTTCTCTCTCCAGGCCACTACATTTATATAGACACCTCATTTGCCAAGCAAGAAGAGAAGGCCGTGCTGCTGAGCTCCGATTTACAGGCCGAGGAATGGAGCTGTCTTCGCTTGATCTACCAGATAACCACATCTGCAGACTCTCGAGCAGATCCCAGCAGGTTGAACCTCTATGTGCGATTTGAAGAGAAGAGCTTTGACCACTTGCTTTGGTCCACTAAGGAAGCTTCGGAGAGCTGGCTCATAGCCAGCCTGGATTTGCAAAACAATCCCAAGAAATTCAAGGTGGGTTGAGTTTAGGAGGAAGCTATAAGTATAGTAAGGGTGCTTTATGCCATTCTGAGATCTTATGAAAACTGCAGCCATTTGAAATTAGTTATGTCTTGTACATGTGTCAGGACACAGTTTTTTACAGGAGGGAGATACAGTATAGGAGAATTTAAGAATGTATTCTGTGTACTGAAAAGACCCTCTTCCTGAACGTCTTATTCATCTTCTAAGTGAGGCTTCTTTAAGGATCTAAGTGGGATTATACCAACCCTTCAATGGAAATGGACTTCCTTAAGGGCACCAAGGAGAAGATTCCTTTCTCTCCTGACCCTTTCTTCCTGTGTGTGGTATGTGTTTATGTGATCTTCCAAATGGTTTGCTGGCTACAGTTTTTAAATAAAAAATTAAATGTAATGAAAGATGAGATGGTTTTGAAAAACCATGAAGACTTCAAGGACATGTTCTGACTCCTTTTCGATGTGGAAATTGTTCCTACCGAAGTGTTGGGCATGGAAAGTGGAGACCACAGGACAAACCTGGATGATGTGAGGATGTGCCTTGAGTGGTGAAGGCGGCTGAGATCTGTTGGCTGTGAGGCAGGGTATATTTTCTGTGGGAATATGTCATTGGGGATACACAGAGCCGACATGAAAATTCTCCTCGTGCCTAATTCCCTTTCAGTTCTCTATCTCATCCCTCTTTTTCTTCAAAAGTTATGAAATACAATACTATGTCCTCTGCCTGCTGGATGTCCCTGCATGGATTGAGGAAGGCACCCTGGAGGGGAGCCGAGTTTCCTCTATTTCACAAAGATCGCCCAACAATCTATGGCATCCTTCATCAACCAGCACAGCTGCAAACTATCAGCTAAAATCACATAAGGAAAAACTGCTGAACGTGAACCAAAACCAGAACTGAACGTGAACTCTTCATCGGATCTGAAACCAGTCACACCCATTGCCATGCTCCCTACACAGCCCAGGTGTTCTCGTGTAAAACTTTCCATGCTCCTGAAAGCCACAACTTGAAGGATTAGATAGGCAAGTTCCATGGTCAGTGGTGAGGTTCAGGGGAGAGGAACCATTAGAAAAGGAGGGTGCGACTGGAAGAAAGCAGTCACAGCCACGGAGGTGAACATGGAGAAGCTGATGAACGGGTGTATCTTCTGCTATGTGTATTCTCAACCGCAACAACCCAACATAAAAGAAATTCTCTTCAGAAACACTAAACACCGAATCTTTTTCCCCCCTTTCAAAACGACCATAAACATAAAAGCTGGAAATTGATTTATGAGCCTCCACTGTCTTGGGTAGCACTCTTCCACCACCAAGTCAAATAATGCTTCTCACCTCCTCCTGCCAAGGATTCTTTTCCTCCAAAGCCCTCTGCTCTCGGTTCATAATCATTCCCAGAATGGATTTTCCCAGGAGCGCGCACTCTCTTCCCTTGTTACAGCTGAACAGCGTGACCACGGGAACTAGAGACGGTGTGCTTGGGATATCAGTTGCAAACAGTCGAAACCCGTTTCCTCTGAGCTTTTAATGTCCATATTGCTTACCTCAGAGGTCTCCGCATCCTTTTCTTGCTAGATGCCTATGAATTGGTTCCAACTCTTAGCAACTCTCTGTACGACAGAAGGAAACACTTCTCTGTCCTGCACCATCCTTAACATGGTTTGTTATGTGCAGCTGCTGTCAGTCCATCTCACTGGGGGTCTTCCTCTTTGGCACTGCCCTTGCACTTGACCAAGCACGATGTCTTTCTCCGGGGACTGGTCTCTCCTGATAGCATGTCCAAAGTACATGAGACCAAGGCTTGCCAGCCTTGCTTCTAAGGAGCATACAGGCTGTACTGTTTCTAAGACAGACCTGTTTGCTCTCTTGGAAGTCCGTAGGACTTTCAATATGTCTGTAGTGACATTGGTCTCTGATAGTAACTATCTGGGACTGACCATCATGTTTGGCCCTGACTTGCTGTGTGGCTCCTGACTAGTAATAAAAATGATGGACCCAGGAAACAACAGGGTCCTGAGGTCTAATTCACCCCCTGTCCTTTTCTCCCCAACATGTCATGCAGATTTTAATAGAAGGTGTCCTAGGCCAGGGCAACAAAGCCAGCATCGCAGTCTTTGAAATCAAGATGACCACCGGCTACTGTATTGGTAAGTGGGTTTCATTTTCATTGCATCAGAATGCATTGGAGGGAATGCACCGCATAACGCACGGCAGTTTGCATTCTTTGTTAGGTTCCCTTGAACGTCGCGTGCCAGTTCTCTGTAGTTAGCATCAGAGGGCTCGTTAGAGTTGGCCTGGACAGACTGACTTCAGAAGACAAGGTCGAGCTGCCTTCACCTCACCGAGTCCTAATGCAAGAATCCCCAGTGTGCTGCAGACTCAGCGCTTTGTCACATTTGTCTCTTTCCTTGTTGTACTTCCTTTCTCTATCATTGCCCCTGTCTCTGTCACTGGTCACTTAGATGCCATTTGAGCAGTTGGTGGTGGGTGTCTCTGTGCCCCGGGCCTGAGATCATGCACAGAGAAGGTGCAGCCCTATCCTGCGCTTGCCCCACCCCACCCCTAGTCTCTGAAGTGCTTCCTCTACATGGCAAATGCTCTAGAGGAGAGCAAGCCATGGGTGCAGAGAAAGATAATAGAAAACTGGAGAGGACTTAGCTAAAGAGACGCATGGTAGCTGGAGTGTAAAATTTAGTTGCGTGGAGGGACAGGGCCGAAAGGAAAGAGTTCTCTGTGGGGAGAAAGGATGAGGCATGTTGTGGCAAAGGCCAGAGGTCTCCTGGAGTATTTGAAGTGAGTCTAGGTTTGCTAGGGGGGTTTAATGGGGAGATTCTGGATCCAGGCAGTGGAGCTTAGAGTTAGTGGCTTACACGTTTGGAAGGCACTAGCAGGCACTCGGCAGGGGTTAAGCCCAGTCTCCTGTACGGAAGATGAGTCTCGTCGCTATGAGGACATGAGTTAGGAAACAGAAGACACGCGAGAGGCAGGAAACTCAGAGGAAGCTGCCGTGACCTCAGACAGCTGAGGCAGAAGGAGAGTCTGAAACTGGGAGTTGGCAGTGGAATAGGAAAGAGGAAGTCGGTTTGAGAGTTTTTCAGCACTCACGGTACTTGAGGGCTGAGTGGCTGTGCACTGGGGGCTATGCAGGGGGTGAGAAGAGAGACTAGTCGGTTCAGAACGCTGTGAACGTTCACTTCAATAAGCCAATGTTCAGTAAAACCACAATAAAATGTTCCAAAACAAAAGGAGATGATCAGGATCCAAAGAGAGCCTTGACCAGCTCCCAGGAGGCTAGGGTCTCGCCCCCTGGTGGTGACTTCCAGTGACATCTTCGAGGCAAGGCAAAGCCCACTGAGCGAGAAAGCAATCTTTTTGATCAAGATACCATGAGCTGAGGCCTCTGCTTCTCTCCTTAGGTCTCTCCCTGAGCCACAGTCCACATGGATGCAGCATGGTGGCCAGGGGCACCCCTAGACCAGGGTTGGGCACCCCATGAAAGCTCCCCCTGGGGCTCCGTCTGCTAGCTGAGCCTTTCACTTACCTCACAGGGTTAATGGGAAGAGTTGAGGAGGTAGGATATGAAGGTCATTGAGGAGCCGGGTACCTGCTGGACTCTCAAGAAAAGTTCACGGCTTTTCTTCAGTTCACTTGGTAGCTTCTCAATTGCTTAAAAAACAAAAAGGATACCAGACTTGGATCTTGTTAGGCAACATTACCATCAGGATCTCACCTCCCTTTGCTCACCTGGGAATTTTCTTTGCTCCTCTACATTCCTTTTTTTGGCAACATTTGTCAAATGCAGGAGGTACTTGCCTCAGGGGGCTGTTTGGGATGTTAAATAAATTAATCCACCTAATGTGCATAGACTAGTGCTGGGCCCATAAAAAGTTCTCAGTCAATTCCCACTTTTATTTCCCTTAGTGACAGTCTTTGGCACTGTCAGGGACTGGGTAGCAGAGCATCCAAGGAAGGCAACATTTGAAAATGCCAATCTTAAATTTTTTCCTATGCTTTCTAAAGTAAAATCACATTGATCACTCTACCCATCGGGGTACTGGCAGGAAATAGAAACCGGGTACAGTCAGTCTGAGGAATTTGAGAAAAGTTCAATAAAAAGACAACAAACGTGTGTGGAGAAAGGAGAGAACCAGCAAGGGATAGCTCCAGGATCCCAGACTAGTGCCGCATGAGACATGACTCATTATCACCTTAGACCTTTGCATCTGAAGAGACAAGTCAAGAGGAGTTGCCAAAATCCGGAAAGAACACCTGTATGGTGAGGGCTTCTTGCCAAGGAAGGACACACAGCCAACCGTGGTGACCTGGCAAGCCAAGAGCTAGCAGAATGAGCATCCCAATCTCACTCTTCTCCTGCCTTCCATTGGTCAAACCAACAGGAAGCCAGAAGGTAGGAGAGTGTGTGGATCAGCCACGTACATGCCGATCAGTCAGCCCATCAGGAGAGCATCAAGCGGATCTGGAGGGGACAGAGGGGCGGTGGCAAGCACAATCATTGATGAATTAAGGAGTCACGTGTGGCACTGGCTTGTGAGGTTCTCATTCCCACTAAGGGCATCTGTTGGCTGGGGATAATTTACCTATGCAAACATGTCAATGTTTGCCACAAAAACAGAGAGTGGGGGTATTCCGTTACCCTCTCTGTCTTTTCCATTTGCCAGTTTCAAGAGGGTCTCAGAGCCAAAGAGAGGTCTGCCCTGGCTCTTTTAAGTATTTTAACTTGTGTGAAAGTCAGGATAGCTTTAGCATCGCAGCTATGGGAATCTTGTCCATCACCAAGAGAGAAGAAAGAGGTAAAGAACGAGGCAGAGACTGCCAGGTGAAGGGAAGGGTCGTAGGCAAAATGTCTGGAGCTGAAAGCATAGCCCTGAAGCGTGCTTGGAAATAGCCCTATGGAGCAGGGGTGTCGTCTCAAGGCTCTGAGTCACAGGGCAACCCCTGGCTAGCCAGTGCAAGAGTCACATCATTGTGGAGAGGCAATGATGAACTGGGACCTCGATCCCTCAAACCCATATACCTTTTCATGACTGGCAGCTTCATGGAGAGACTGCATCAGCATCAGTGTCTCGTGTATCTTTCTTCTTTGGCCAACATTATCCATGGGGGTCCTAGGCTACATTTTCAGTGAGAAAGGAAAAAGAGAAAATGATCCACCTAGTATCTTGAGACTGGCTGCGGCCGTGAGCTTGGGTCCCCCAAGGTGTGTGTGACTGCGCCCCCACACACGATGGTTTCATTTCTCTTCTTTAGAATGTGACTTTGAGGAAAACCATCTCTGCGGTTTTGTGAACCACTGGAATCCCAATGTGAACTGGTTCATCGGAGGAGGAAATGTCCGGAACTCGCCCCCCATCCTTCCCCAGGACCACACGTTTAAGAGTGAATTGGGTAAGCTGGGGACAAACGGAGACCCTTTGCTGGGCCCACTGCTTGCCCCTGTCATCTCTTCTCCCCTCCTACACTAGAAGCCACTCCTACCTGGGCTTCCCCAAGCAGAGCAGGCAAGGGAGAGGCAGGAAGACGTGGAGAAAGAGTGGGGAAGAACAAACCCTGAGAGAAAGACCAACTGTAGACCAGACGTGAACTCTGAAGTAGAAGCCCCCACCCCCGGGGAAAGGCTCTCCTCCACCTTGAACCCCATCTTGCTCTTTTCACATATGCTTGACTTTCTTCTATATCGTTCAGTCCTTCTTCTTGGTAAAGCCAA